TGTTTGAAAGCAATCACATCATTGACCATTTGAAATAAAGATATAAAAAGTGTAACATTTCCTGAACTGTCGAGTCATGGAGTTGATACATCGGTATCGTTCAGTAGTTTTAACATTACGTCCCTTGGCGCCGACAGCTCTAAATTTGCAGCTCCGGATGTGGTTTGCTTTGAGTCCAGTGATTCGACGTTTCTCCGTTGGAGCGCGCGTTTCATCAGAATAACCAGCGTGGATATGAACAATACTTGTTCCCACTATTGATATTTAGACAACTGTTATCAATTATACTCCCAAATTATCTTTATGATTAAAGAACGGAAATATACCATTTGGTCAGAACCTACACATATAATCAAATATAGATATTCTAAGCGGTATAGATAGACAAGAAATTTTTAGACAGTGACGTTTCTGTTCGGTGATCTACTGGTATAATCAGTTATCAGACTGTGGATATTTCGTATAATCAACACGTTAAAGATAAATAACCCATACTATTTTGAAGAAATGTAGTGTACAATATACAGAAACTTAACTAGACTTATAACTGTAAACGTTTAATTCCAGTCTCCTTGTCATTCAGTCAGTATCAAGGTAGAACTTCGTACGTACGTACATCAGTTCGAGTTTCCACACCACCTTAACATAGAGATGCAGTTGTCGATCCAAATCACGTAGTGGTAGAGGTAGCAAGAGTGTAAGCAGTGATCGGGAAGATTAGGGTTTGGAGATGTTATTTAAAGAGTATAATTCAGTGAAATAAATTTGTGAAGAGAAAAAAGAGACAAGGGGGAATTAGGAGACCAAAATTTGGGAGAACACAAAGAGTGTATGCACCTGCGCCATTGCAAACGATTTTGAGCCATGTCATTCAGGGTGTCTAACCATCGGTTGCTGTGATTTCGCGGTCCCCAAACAGGTAGTCTACACCTACCAACATGACTCAGACCACTTGTCAGTGACTTCATGGACTTGTGCCATGTTTTGGTCTGGCCGCCCCTAGATTCCTTCCGACCTACTCCTATACCACTGAACATCGCACGTCGAGGCAGTCGGTCGTTGGGCATACGTAACACGTGTCCCAGCCATCTCAACTGATGAAGTTTCACCACGTCATCAATTGATTTGCCATCCTTACCTAGTACCCGTTTCCTAACAACTGCATTACTTACTCGATGGTCCCATGATATACGAGCAATATTTCAAAGACACCTATGATCAAATGCTAGTAATCTACGGATATCGTCTACTCTTACCGACCATGTTTCACTGCCATGAAGTAGGACGGAACGAACTACTGCGCAGTAAACACGTCCTTTGTTTGATAGACGGATATCTCGCCTACGCCATAAATGACGCAAGTTGGCAAAAGCTGGTCGAGCCTTCTGTATCTGTGCTGAGATTTCGTCACATACCAGACCATAAGGGCTGATGAGACATCCAAGATAAGTGAAGCGATCGACACGCTCAATTGCTTCACTCCCTATCATTAGTTCGGGTGTCGATGTAACCCAATCCTGAAGCAACATTTTGCATTTCGAGGGAGAGAATCGCATCCCGAACATGCTTGCATTGATGCTTTGAGTGATCAGAAGACTCTGCACTTTGTCAGCGTCTTCGCCAAATAAAACTATGTCATCAGCATATTCTAAGTCAACAAGTGAACCTCCTGGTAGAAGTTCAACCCCTGGAAATTTAGATGAGGAGAGTGTTATCTCTGAAAGTACGTCGACCACAAAGTTGAACAAGAATGGGGAAAGTGGACAGCCCTGACGAACACCACTTGATGTAATCAATTCTGATGACAGTTCGCCATAAGCTCTCACTCGACCAGTTGTGTTCGAGTAGAGAGCCTGAATAAGGTTAATGTACTTCTTTGGTAATCCTTTCAGTGACAAACACTGCCATAGAACCTCACGATCAACAGATTCAAATGCCACCTCAAGGTCAAGAAATACTACCATTGTGGGGCGTCTGAATGTGTGTCTGTGTTCTAGAACCTGACGTAGTATGAATATCTGATCTATACAACCGGCCTGATTTTCTCTAGTCTGTTCTTCACGAGCTTCGCTTAAGCGTCGAAGTATTATTGAAGCTAATATTTTAGACACTATATTAGTCAAACTGATTCCTTTGTGATTGTCACAAGAAGACGTTTTTCCTTTCTTAAAAACTGGCACAATCAGTGATTGAGACCAGTCAGATGGGATTGCGTTCAGTTCCCAAATTCTACCTAAGACCTCAGTTTATCTTACTGCTAATACTGGACCACCATCCTTAAAAATCTCAGGAGTAAATATGTCAGAGCCTGCTGCTCTCCCTTGTTTCAGATTTCCTATGGCTTTTTCAACTTCGTAAGGAGACGGAGGACCTACATTAACTTGCCATTCAAGTTGACTGGAGATCGTGGGAAACCGAAGTGTGGCTAAAGGCCAATTGAACTGATCCCTAAAGTTTTCTGCCAAACGATCCAATCTCCTGGATTGAGAATGTATAATATGTCCATCTTTCTCTGAGAGTGTTTCGCTAACAGTCGGTTTCCTTAACAAGTCTGAACAATTGTCTGCTATTACCTATTGCCACTGCCTTTACCATCTCTCTTGCTTTCGCTACCCACCACTGTTCGCGATCGTTGCGTAGACTTCTTGTCAGCTTGCGCTTAAGCTGACTCCGCTCTTCACTATGTTCAGAGCCAGGTGGAATGAGTTTCCGAACATCTATCAGTGCGATAGATGCTGCTGAAATCCAGTGTTGCTCTCTAACCTTCTGGTTTACCTTACTAGCAGATATCACTGCTGTTTCCACAGCTTTTCGGATATCATTCCATGCTGCCTCGGGGTGGGCATCACATACATGGCTGCCTAACTGGTTTCCTAGTTGTTCCTGAAATATACTCTTAGCTTGACTATCATTAAGTAGGCCCCTAAGAGGTTTCCTCGCAGCGTCTTTCCTACGTCCAGTAAGACACAGACAGATACGCGCTCGTACTAGAGCATGATCTGAATCTAAGCATGTGCTCCAGAATGAGCGACAGTCTTCTATCGAGCACCTCCATCGGTGGCTGATAGCGATGTGATCTATTTGGGTCCAGCGTTGGGACGAATTAGGGGGTCGCCATGTTAAAAGATGTTTTTCCTTATGCCTAAAGTTAGTATTTGCAAGGAACAGGCGATTATCCGAGCATAGCTGCAACAAACGGTCGCCATTATCTGTTTTTTGAGCCACGACACCATAAGATCCACCTAGGTGTCTTTCCCTATCGCTTAGTTTACCTACTTGAGCATTAAAGTCACCGGCCACTATTACTACATCATAGCGCCTAGCTTTTAGGAGGAGGTCGGAGAGCTTTCTGTAAAACTCATCTTTTAGATCATCTGCGCTGCAGTCAGTGGGAGAATAGGCAGAGACGACGAAGTGTCCCTATCTTTTCGGATTCTTACTGTTCCGTTCAGTCGGACAGCGCACAAACGACTGTCTACTGGGATCCATTCTAAGAGAGCTAATTCTGCTCTGGGACTTAATGCTATACCTACGCCGGCGAGGCCATGGGAAGCAGAATCAGGGCTTCCAGATACACGAAGTGTAAATCGAGTCGGTTATTTATTTTGGCATGGTGAGGTCAGATGGATGACGCTACTCGGATCCTGTATGCGCGTTTCGGAGACGCAGCACACATCGATGGCGCGAGACTCTAAAGTCCTAGCTAAGGAAGCCTGTTGTCCTATTTGGCACAGTGTTCGGACGTTAAAAGCTTCTAAGTGTAGTTTAGAGTGTGGTTTCAGGAGACCACGAATAGCGTTCCGCGTAATTGAATCGTTTGCCCTAGCGGTGCGAGGTGATAAACAGACGTAAGGAGGGTTAGTCATGGAGATAAGAGAGGTATTAGGAGGTGTAGGAAGGATTTGAATGTGACCAACTTGGTCTCGTGTGCTGTTACGGGTATGAGGGCTGATATCACTTCCCGGTTGAACACACCGTAGAAAGGTATTTCTTGAGGAACCTGAAAAAGAAGTCGGATTAGTGTTGGTCTTGACGACCTGAGAGCGTGACCGCAGAGCCCAAGGGACAACTGCTTGAGGCCGGTTGCGCACGGCCTTTTTGTGGAAGGTTTTTAATGTGTTAGCTCCGTTCTTCAAAGGGCCTTACCGCCGGAGACGGAAATCCGTGAGGTAAGGTGTGACATTTTTAGGGTCAACAATTTCTAACCCCACCCTCCTTGTGGGAAGGCAGCATCGCTGCAGATGCTGGTTGTCCGAGGGAAACACCTTACTGCTGTCACACCCCTCTACAGTCAGCAGTACGACTTCGCCCTCAGACCTTGAGTTGCTGCTTTTAGTCTTACCGTTCTCCAATCGACCTGCCTGACATGGTAGAACCTACAGGAACATATGTTCCAGCCAATATAGCTCGGTTGGGTCATCACGATAGGCAAGTCCGACCACCGCGTCAAGGTAGGAGCTTCGGTCGGGAAATTAAACGGAGCCATAGAAATTTGTCCAGATCTATTACTTCTGGCTGAATTATTTTTAAGTGAAGAGACATTTGTTGTTCAATTTAATTCATTTTCCACTTAGTTATTTACAATAAAGATATATAGAACCCATTAACCATGAATAGAATCAAGTCAAACCATACTTGCTAAAAATTAAAATTCACACGTTAGGGTCTACTTAGACAAAAAATAGTGCCGATGACATTGAAAAGTATCTTTTCCTTGAACCTATTTTATTCCAAAGTGACATCCATACGTAAAGAAGTGCACATATAAGTATACAAAAGAATCAATTTGAACACCGAAATTAAAATTAGATGAAGATAGATTATAAATATTTATTTTCTTTATAACTTAGAAGAAAAGTTTTATGAGTCCAAAAGTTATTACATAATTCCATTGTCCAATTACATATCTACTCGTAATATTCAAAAGTATATACTGTTTGATTTTGTTTTTTCATTTGATAAAATAAAACACAAAATAATTTTATCAAAAACCTAAAGAGCTAAAGTTTAAACCTTTACAACCTATAAATTTTATATAATGTAAACTGTTTTGTGGCTTTAATCAGATATAAAATCAAGATCATAATGATAAATAACAAATAATAACAATAAACTTGTAAAACATGTTGAATTGAAAATAAAATCATGCTTTCAAATACATCCTGACGAAAATGAGATACAATGAAAACGTTTAATATACATTATGAGATTCATGGAGGCCATGTAGATGATATAGTTTCAGAATTCGATAAACTTGAGGATTGTGGTAACGATCGACGACTTAAACGTACAATCCAATCTAAAATTCTCATTTGAATACGTATTATCTGAGCATTTGTTGTTCGAAGAAATGCTGGGACACCTATACGTTCTAAAGTTAGCTGTTGTTCAACAACACGTCCATCTAATGAATCCAATATTCTTAATGATAGATTACGTAAAGCATCAGTTTGATTTTTCAATAAACGCTAAATAAAACAATTAAAAAAAGTATTTTCTACATTTCCAATTAGTATTTAAACACTCACTGACTAGGAAGATAAAAATAATTCATGTATATTAAATGAAATCAGTTAGTCAGTTATAAGACTGTGGAAGGATCCTTCATATATATATATATATATATATATATATATATATATATATATATATATATATATATATATATATATATATGATACCTTACCTGTACCTTATACGTTGTCTATTTGCAGATACAAAGATGATTCATACTTAGACAGTTGAAGCAGGTCCTTTATGGCCTCTTCTATCTGTACTCCCTACTAGCTTTCCATATTCATTGCTTTCTTATTGTTAGTCTGTGGTCAATGTTCATGTTTAAAATATCTGAATCTTGAAGACACTTCTTACTCAACTTTTGTTTATAAGGTGTATTACAGTGATCGGTCGAGAGAGTAGATCATCTTCATTAGACAGGAGTCAACGCGCGGCTTTAAAAGTACACATTTCTAAGATCTGACAAAGAAAATCTTGATAATGAAGTTCAGATTTTTCAAATCAATAGATAGCATGAAACAACAACAAACATCTAAAAACACAATGTCGAAAAAAATAAACAAAATGAAGTAATTTACGTGCATTTCTTGTTCATGTTCTTTTTGTAACACCGGTAGATGATGTGGTCGAGATGCATTTATAGACATTTCTTCTTTATGTTTTCGTCTTAAAGCAGATCGACAAGCTAATGTTGAATGCAAAAAGAAGCTCTTAATTTTTAAACAAGCACAAATTATACAACGATAGAAAAATGTCCATCTTTAGTTAAGCCAACTATAAAAAATAAATTATCAAAGTCAAATGACTACTGATCTCATTTGCCAATTTTCGAATAAGAGTATACACAAGAAGAGGGGGAAGAGATAGAAGAGCAATTAACAAGATTAGAAATAGGAAAATGCAAATTACATTGTGAGAGATTGTAAAAAAGTTAAAGTATTACGTCCTCTACTTGATTACAGAAGAGTACGATATACAACTAACGTTCTCAAACGTGTAGAACCCAACGGTCGCAAATCAGAAGACGAAAAAACAGGGGAAGGGTATTGAGCAAGAGTCAAAAATGTACGTAAAAACAGGGGTATTTAAATTTTTTAGTATTGGCTATAACATCATTATAATTCAGTCAATCCGCAAGGGGGCAATTTATGTTATCGTTCAATCGTAGAACGCCACGTTAATATTCTAGGGGGTTCTACCAGGTTCTAACAGAATGGAATCTCTCCAGCTCCGTTAAAGGCTCTAGAAGTCTCCTCGTGGTTTTCGAAGCCGTCCCAACACAAACAACTTTCCAACTGATTGACCAATGAATAGAGATGAATGTAATGTTTATCTAATCCCTTAATGCTGATTAGAATCTAATGGTCAACTAGTGATATGGTCACTAATCTGAATAACTCAACATTATATGCAGTATATTGAAGTTTTAATTGTTCGGAAACAGTAGACAGAAAACAATGAAACTAAGTTTTTTTATTATTTAACATTAGTTAAAAAGGTGTACTTGGAATCTTCAAGGGACTGGTGCTTCTGGTGGATTCGAACGGGGATTACCCAGTCTGAGACATTTACACTGAGCTACTAATCTCCTATTGGACTGAAATATTTACAATTTATTGATCACTGAGCGGTGAAAAATGTCATGTTTGTTTAGCCCTTTTTATGATAATTTAATCCCATTGATTAAGTTGTAATATGTTGAGAAACATTACCAAGTATCTATGATTATTTAAACATAGGCTGTCCCCACTTTTGAAAAGAAACTCAAAACCAAACATATTTAAACAAACCAAGGACGATAATATTCACAATCAGCAAAGCTGAAAACTGACCTTTGTGTTTAACACGTGTCTTTGATTAACATTCAACTAATTTGGTAGTAAAAACAGAAATAACGTTAAGAAATAGACTTTCATCTTTCAAGAATCTACGATTACGATTCAAAGATTTCAATTCAATTTTCTATCTTACCTTTCAATATTCTGAAGATTTCTTTTCGTACAATAGAGTAACAACACTTTAAGACAATGATTCCAAGTGGGATTTACACAATATAACTATAGTCGTAGACATATCACACTTAGCTACTTTGATAATCCAAACATTCATGGTATTTCAAGGATTTCAGTAAACAAGCTAGAAAACTTTTTTATATACAGTATACAGACATAGACTTAGTTAATTCATATATCAATGAGAATGAAAATTATGTTATAGACATTTGAAAGACGGAGTTAAATGAAAGCGTTGAAATTATAAAATAATTGATCGAAACGATAAAAACTGACCAGATTGTTCAGCACGTAAATCAATCAATTGTTTATGCAATATTTGTTCTTCGACACGTTGACTATTGACTAACTCAGAAACCGTTGGAAATATTTTACCCTCTGCTAATATATGCGCCAATTGTGTGATCATATCTTCCGAAATTCCTGTTTGAATATCACTAGAGGATGATAAAAAAACGAGGATGAAAATTTCAGGAAAAACATTGATTTAGTTATCACATGGTAAGACATACCATCCACGAGTAGAATGAATCGTGAACTAGGCATTCAGTCACATTGTTATTGAGTGAATATTACAAAATAATAAACGATATTCCAGCCTGGAACTTAAAGTGTTGAAAATAAAGATTAACAACATTGTCCATTTCAGGAAAACTTTATTTCATGCAACAAACGAAAACGCCGCTGAGGAGTCCCGTCTGGGACAAAACAGTTGTCCGTGCTTTCAGGATTCTAATAGGTGTCTACTTTAGGTCAGTTCGCGATTCCGATAAAAGAAAACAATAGAAGACTCACACATTGACTTCTGTTTTGAACTTCAAACCACTGTTGAGCTATAGTCGGTGGAATAAGTCAGAATGTAAAAACTGATTGTAATTGCTAATATATTTTAAACATTGTCAGACAATAATTGATAATCTTAATGAATATTATAAATCTCTGATAGCAATAATGGACTGGAATACCGTTATACCAAAATAAATCATTCCCAGTTCCGATGCGCATTTTAGTGGTGTCGTTATCTTTCTAAGATTTGATCGCATGTTTGAGAACTGCGTTGTTTATAGACTGAGTAAGCTACGTTGAATTCGTTCGTAGAAAGTATGGTGTGGAAAGTTCGTCATCGATGTAGTTTGTTGCATCAGTTTTGTCGTCGGGCTCATCAATTTTAGGTGGCAAGGTATCTGACTGTAACCGGGTCGTAAGAATGATTGTTATCCAAATATAAATGCTGCCAACCCTCGAATAAAATTATCGACTTAAATCGCGTTAACGAATAACGGGACAAAATAAGCCAAATACGAGAATAAAGTTTGAATACGTATATTCCATACAATCGCTGATATGAACAGACAATCAGAGAGACGAAGTGAAGGAAGCGAAACAAACTGGAGAAGGCATGTTAGCCAACTCGATTTAACCAAGCATGGATCAATAGTGATAGTCGAATAAAAATAGGTTATAAACATATAATGAATAGGGTAAGTAATTAAGACACATACAATCGTATAAAAAACGTTCAGGATTAATAAGCGAATAAGTGATAGGGTAAAAATGTGGCTTGAGAAGAATGAATAGATTGGTCTGTCCAGAGGCTAGAACAACTTATGTGGACTTGACATAGTACCAGCATCCACAATATCTTACACAAAAAGGAACAAAAAATTAAGAAAAATCATATTCTATCGCAAGTGCATCGTACTGATGAATCCAGGACATGATTAAATCAATCAGGTATTATTTTAGACTTTAATTTTTACTTAAAACTACATTAACTTGTGTAACAACTGAAATTTCAAACGGTTTTTGTTCATAAAAATAAAGAGTGAACACTCGAAAATAAAACTTACAAAGGTGCTTGTTGAACAAAATTACGTAATTCATTCAAATAATAATAAATTTTTTGCTGAAAATATTCTCTATCAACATGATTATCGCTTAAATCAGTGTTAGTATGAGTTAAATAATTCGAATTTGACACATCTGATGAATAATATGGTGATGATGATGACGATGCTGCTGGTTGAAAACTCATTATGATATGACAATATTTTTAGACTCCTAGATAAACAAAAATGAAGAAACAATAATACAAGAAAACAGATTAAAGATTTGAAAACCCTATTCTATGTAGTAATTAAAACAAATAGAAGGATATCTTATATTGAATTCTAAGGTACCTATGAATTCAGTTCGACAAACTAATATAATGAGTCGAATAAACAGCTTGGTGGTTTAAACGTTTAACTTAAAAACAACCGAAGGTTTAAACCCTGTTTTATTCATTTTAGTTTGTGGTAGTAAAGTAGTGTGACTAGTCTATACAAATAGTTTTGTAAAATATCGAATACATAAACACCTTCACATGACAGATAGGCTACGATTAGAAGACAAAAATAATAATCTTGTTGAATGTGTTGTGTTTTCTGAGTTAAGTGGTTCAGTCTAGCTCAAGGTTAACAGTACCTCCAGCGAACTCATTCATCATCTGGTCGTAATCTTGAGCATATAGAGTACGCTCTGTCCTCAATCATTGAATGGTAAACAATGAATTTCCGCTTCAATATTAACGGACTTTAGACAAAAAATCTGAATGTCAAGAATCCAAAAGAAGGAAATGCAACAAAATGCTGCACTAACCAGTTAGTTTAACCTAATGTAACTGAGTAATCAAATTTAGGTTCGTTTACCTCTAATTTAACTAGGTTTTTAGTTTTATGTGAAATGTAGCGGGCGATACTATTCAAATGCCTACAACGATGTAAGACAAGTGTAATTCGAAATCACATATGCACAGTGAATAATACAAACAGATGATACATTATATATATATATATATATATATATATATATATATATATATATATATATACTTTGTTTACACAACTGAAGGTCTTATTATATACTTATTGATAAATTCACGACTCAGAAATGTTTTCGAGAAAGTACATATTTGTATAAAAAAAGCTTTGCTATATGTTAATAACATCAGAAAAGGAAAGACTTCAGCTTGTAGAAGAAGACAATAATAACTACAAACCAATAAATAATTTTGCATAAACTACAAATACAAATCAGTTTTTGCTTAACAACTGATGAAGTTTTTCAACTTGAGAATTTTAACAAATACTCTACGACATTAGAACATAATGTAAACCAATGGACTTCTGAAACAGTAGAGTATGGATTTTAAAATCCATTGGTTATAACCAGTGCCCATTACTTGACTCCAATATATGGCAGGTATATTACAAATACACAGACACGTACGCAATCCACATTGAATAAAACGTTTATGTACATTTGTATCGGTCGTTTGAATCTTCCCATTGATGCTGAGGTCTTCGATTGATCCGTCTCTTTTTGGTATATGTTCATCCTGTACAGATTGCCTCGATATTCCCGATTGGTATCAAGCATCATAGGGAAAGATGTATGATGGCTAACAATGAAATCTCGTCCTACTTGAGACTCGTCAGACGTATATGCCTGCATCCTGAAGTTGATTTTCACTCTGCGACTCAATTGCAATCCCCAACATCAATAGGAAAATCCAAACAATCGATAAAAATGAATTAAAATTCACCTCATTGCATAAGCCAGTGGCTATTTGGACTCAGTAGTTAAGTGGATAACAAGACAACATTTGGAGTGGACGGTACTTGTTTCGAGTCTCAGACTGAACATCTACTCTAGAATGCAGATACATCCCAGCTGACGACTCTCAAATAAGATGAGACGAGTATTCTGCATTCCAATACTAACCATCATTAATCTCTGTTTATAAAACTTTTATGGTTTAGAGTAATGAAATACAATTGTGAAAATTCCTGAAGTAATTTATTCTACTTAAACTTAATCTAGTCAACAATTTAATATTATTGTATAATATGTATTGATAGATACAATTCGGAAATAAATAAATAAATAAACATATAACTCTTGTCAACAGTATTATGTAAATTTATGTAAAATAAGGTAAGTGATGGTAATAAAACAACCAGAGTATCAACTATATACATGAAATGATATGCATTAATTAATTATTTCATCAGTATTTATTTAAATTAAAAGAAATATATACTAACTATTCAAGAATATAATAATCTTATTATTAATCCCAGCTAATCAATTACAAAGATGGAATAATCTATGAAAATTTAACTTTCTAAGTTTTGTTCTCTAAACTAATAGAATAAAACTTCATCAAAATCATTTATCTAAGCTACAAATCTTCACCATCTCCAATGAGAATAGTATTCAAGTTACTGGTGATGTATTACAAGTTCATTAACAACAATCGATCTATCTATTTATCGATCAACTCAAAATGTATGTATTTAATTTATTCAGAGTATCTGTATAGTATTCAATTATACTAGTGAAGTTATTACACTGAACTCTCGAATTAAGCCAGAATTAATTGTATTTTTAAAACTAATAAATGTATTATTAAAGTAGTAAGAACAATAATAAATATGGTAGAATGATATAGATTCATTTATTCCTACTACTTATAACATACAATTATTTAAAACGAATATTATACTACTGAAAATCAATGAAATCATAGTAGTAAACATGAAAGAATCCTTTTATGGTTAAATGTTGTAATGATTAAATATTTATAATAGCGACTATATTAAGAAAAGGAATGAAAATTAAAGTTACTAGGATAGTGTATACGAGATTGACACAATTGTATCATTCTAACTGTACAAGTTCGATTTAAAAAGGATACAATTCTAAATCTTGTACTATTCTAGTGAGATTATTTTTCAATACTTAATTGGATACTTTTTTCTTTGATTCATTTCTGAGTACCTTTTATTCACTTCACTCTGGTATTCCATCCATTTGCATAGTTGTAAAAATACATAAATTCCGATATTCATTTTCATTTTCAAGAAACTTTTCTTCTTATGTACAACACTGAAATATAAAGACATAACGAAATATTGGTTGCTTCATGCAACTCTCTGACTAAAAAACATAATCAAATTGTTAAGATTATACATGGTCAAAAGTGTTTGCAAGTTGACTAGACAACTTAGAACCCGCGTACTCCTTACTAATAGTTGAAATTGAAAAAATAAATCACGAATAGCTGCCTTATATTTAAAATGTTTCTTTAAAACCACTTGTCATTTTTAAGATAAATAAACATTATTCTAGATTACCACTTTCTCCAAAATATTTGCACATAATTATCAAAAGTGAAATTGTCTATATAGAAATATCTTTCATGAATTGCTCTTCATTGCTTTTTAATCATATATAACCTATAGAATTAAACGACAGAACATATTTAGTGTACGCTACTAATGTTGACAGACAAATCACAAGTGCATGGCAGCAGAATGTTTAAAAGATCGAAGAGAAGAGAACAGGAACAAAGAGTAGTTGTAATAACAATGAAGGAATGAAGAAGTTTGAGACAATTGGTGGAGAATTTGCAAATGAAGTATTTGATGCATGGTTTTCACAGTTTACAAAAGAGCTCTGTAATTTTGTGTTACCATGTTGTAAATTTAGAACAACATATATAAGCGAACAATATTGTTTTCGATTAGATCGTCATCAGACTTTACTCTAATATACAGTAATATTTATATGCATATACGAAATTATTAAACCAATCAAAGTAGTTTATAAGTCAATGATAACAATGGAAAAGATTACATAATAAGTAAGATGTGAAAAGTACAAATTGATGATGTGACAACAGGTGCATTAGTTTTGATAAGCAATAATAATAAAGGTTCAAATCAATGTTACATAATCTGAAATAGGTCAACGATTAGAAAAATATAGAAACTGAGATAACAATTATAAAATTATAAGATGACGTAATAAGAAATGTTCAGATAATTGGACCATGAAACGTATAGTTGAGTGGTAAGAGGGTGTGAAGAAAAATAATAAACGAAGAGAAAGTTAGAAAAGGAATAAATAAATAAATTCATTTATTAATTAAGGCCAAGGGAGAGATAAGGGAGTTACAAATTTCTTCTGAACACAAAGACTTGGCTTGTTGGTTCAGATTCCTATAGCTTCTGCTATGTGTAAGAGACGAGATCGAACACCATAAGGAAAACTAGTGGGAATCCGATAAATAACTTTGAACGACTACTTTGATTGGTTTAATAATTTCGTATATGCATATAAATATTACTGTATATTAGAGTAAAGCCTGATGAGGATCTAATCGAAAACAATATTGTTCGCTTATATATGTTGTTCTAAATTTTGTGTTAAACAATAAATTGGTTATACCCAGCTAAGTTCTCTTTCATTACACATACACTAACAGGTACATAAACCAAGACATAATTGAACAATACAAATGGTATATAAAAAATTCAAAAATAAAACCAACACCAGTAAACTGGTGAAAAAACGAGAATATTGGATAACTGTTTCATTTAATTACATTGTAAATTGCCAATCAGTATTATCATCAAATAAATAAGTCTATGAAAAAAAATGTTGAAACTGGAAAGTTTCCAACTGCTTTCTCTATAATACACTCAAGGATATACCTAAAACTAAGATGTCAAGGATGATCCAGGCATGAATCAACCAAGAAGCATTAGTTGGTTTAAAATTGTAGGTATGTTATGCTAGGCAAGTGTCAATTAGCACAAAACCTAAATTCAGGATTTTCAGCTGAATACCTCCAACTTCATAAAATCAAAACATAATGTATGCGATGTCAAATCACCTTAACTGGTGGTCAGTACTGCAAGTCAATCAATAGGATTAAATTGTGAAGACATTCAGATCAACTAAGAGTGATTTACACCAAGAAGCTTCAAGTTCCATAGCCAAATCGATAATTTAAAATCATGGAGTTGAATCTATGTACAACTGATGTAGACTGTTAAAAAATTTTAAACCAAGAAAAGGCAGTTATCGAGCCTTCTCTATAGTTTTCCAAGGTCCCTCAATTAATGTTATTTTATGATATAATCTGACTTTAACTAGAATAAAATTCATCAATCGCTTATTGAAAAAATTATTCCGCAAGAAATTAAAAACAATTTTCAGTCACAAATAGAC